TCGAGTACTTCTTCCTCTTCAATATTTTTCAAATCAATTTGAACATTTCGAGATGCATCGTCGTAACCGGATGGAGTACTTGAGCTACCCTTAAATTGATTAAGCTCATCACTGGTAAAATCTATCTATAACTAGTATAGTATAAAATACAAAATATTAGAGTATGAGAGTGAAAAAATTGAATATGAGATTGAGAGCAAAGAAATTGGAGTTGAAACTTGAATCTATAAAATTGCAAATTAAAATCGATTGAAACAAATTATTTTGAAACTTAAAAATTCACCCCGTATTTATAGCTAAAAAAATCAATTTTACCTCCAAATTTGAAATATGAGCCTCATAAATTGAATTGTAAAATAAAGTAAAAAATCAAAAAAATTAATCTGTTTAATCGACTAGGCTGCCATAAGGCAGCACCTGGCTGTCGCCGATAATGGCAGCTATCTTGACTTACCATTTTTAATTTTTTTTGGTTTAAATTTCGGGCACCCGTGTCACTCGACGAGCCAAAACGGGCCGGCTTGGGCTCGAGCCAACGCCCCAAAATGGGGCTCGACCCGAGCCTAGGTCGCTCCATCTGAGCCACAAGCCGCTTGAGTCACCGAGTCGGTTTGACATCCCTAGTCATATGTGTGGTGAAGTGATTTTGAACATAGGATGACCTTTGAAAAATTGACCTAAAAAGCTCTAATATATTCTCCTTAAGAGAAGAAAGATGACTAAGATTCAAAAATTTTGAACTATATAAAAAAAGTGAGATACATCTTTACCCTTTTTCGAAGTCAATTTGACCCTAGCAATTAAACCTAAGGGATTTCTCATAACCTGATACCCTATCGGCCCGAAACTCGTTACAAGAGACATCTTAGTTGCTTAATGGAAAAAGATATTACACAAAATATAAAAGAAAAATGAGAGAAAAAATATATGTAATTATTGATAGGGAAGAAAGAAAAGTTATATTTTGAAAAATCAATATAAGCATTTTATTTAAAAGGTCCTAGTAATAATACTGGGTTTGGATCATAAGTGGAAGGATATATTCATTATCTGGTGATTTTTGCATGTCCTTTCTCATTGATTTAAGGTTTTGAGACTTGTTTACGGAAGTTTAGTGTCACTTATCACACATGTATAGTTTATATAATTTACTCCATTTAGGTTTAAAATAAGTTATGTGAGAAAATTTTACTTTTTTATGAATTGTGCACGTATAAGTAAGCAAATAATTGTTCAAAATGAAAAATCTACGAAAAAATTCAAAAGAAAAAAGGTTGGTACACACACACACAACTTTTGCATCATTATATATGTGCATATTTTTTTACTCATTCCTCTCAGTGATTTACATGATTATCACTCATCTTTTCTTTGTTATTCTTGACAAAAGGGAGTGAGATGTGTATTTATTTCAAAGAGTTAATAAAAATTTGATATATTTGCTACAATTTTATTATTAATATAGTGTTGTGTTTAGTCCACTACAGGATTAATTTTATCGTTTTAGAACACATAGTTTCCCGTTCGGCCCCAATAGCAAGCCCCTCCTCAGTCGGAGAGCTTCCAAGATAAGGAGGCGGCGCTCAACATCCACTCTTGAGATTTATATTGATCAATTGATCTCTCCATTCTATCAGTTCGCTAACCAGACTCACTCTGCTGATCGTAAATTTGTCTACATCGATATAAAATTCTATGATTTATTTCTAAGTTTAAAATACCTGATATTACAAGCTTCGGTGTTACACATGATTTATTGTGTTGTTCTATTTAACTTAATCATATGATTTTGGTTTTGGTAGTTTCCTCTTGCTTTTCACGTGGTATTGTGATTTTCATGTGTTTCAGAAAACAGGTTGACAAGTTGCTGAAGTGTAGATTGAAAAGCGTCTATTAGGTAGATTGTAGGGGACTTTTGACTTTGAAATAAATAATTTTGTTATAGAATGCCAAAGTGAGAGATTGTTGAGTCTAAATTGTAATTGGCAGTTTCCTAAATCAAAATCAAGTCTTAGTTAAATCGTATTGAGTGTTTATTGAGATATAATCAAAGTCGAAATAGTTAAGGATTGGTAGCATAGGTCTTGAAGGAGTCCAAGATGTCCAAAAAATTACATATAATCAAGGGAATGCAATTAGAAGTTTAAAGGGTGTCAAAGAGCCGTACAAATTATGTTCCAAGCCTCAATTTTAACTTGCAATGCATTTTTCACATAGAAAATATTGAAATTTGGACAATCTAGAGAAATTATAGTCCTTTGAATCAGCTTTTCAACGCATTTTGAATTACCCCAATCTGATATAGAGAGGAAAAGTTATGACAAAATATTAAAAATTGCTCAGGTGCTACTTGCTTGTCGCGGGCTTGGTGTTCGAGGAATGGTTTGACATTTAAAAATCTATTTTTCTACAAGCACTTGGTTTTTTAGTCCCTTTTCATCCAAGCACTACCTATTATAAATATACATCCTATGGGACATCCAAATATGTGTTGAATCCGATTTATTCCATAAAGATGAATTCCTTGATGATCTAAAACATTCATCGATTCAAGATTCAACCACCATATATTACTTGATTAATAAATTCTTCCAAATTTTTTTTTTTTTTTGATCAAGCCTTATTGTTTCATACAAACCATAAGATCAAAACATAGAAGATCATTTGACCAAACATCAAACCATATAATCCATTGGAGATAAATCGATACCAGGGATCGTGAGCTGTTGCAGAAGCGCAAATTCATGAGAACTAAGGTGAGGTACTAGGAGCATGCAGTCCACTAAGGCTGAGGTATAAACCAGGAGCTGAAATTTGTTTTGAAGGAGCATACTTCAGTAGGATCAAAAGAGACAGTAGGAATTGAGGTAAGAAATTTTACGCCGTAGATGAGTCCGGTCCATATTGTAAGTTTGCTTCGATTTATAGTGGATTACTGACTGGCAAAGTGCCCGAGTTTTTACTCAGTTGGAGTTTCTCCGTGATCATCTTTGGTGTTCTTTACTATATTAATTATTGATTGTGTCATTCAAATCATAGGGTAATTGAACTTGGTTGACTAATCACCTAGAAACAATTAAAAATGACTTGTTGCTTTTTAGTGTTTGTTTGATAGGAATTTGGTTAATTGATTTTTTGACCGTTAGAGATAAAGTGGATCCTACCTGTGAGAGAATAATTTTAAAATGAGGGTTGGAATAGTAAAGTAACGGTCAAAAAATTGATTCTAATTGACCTTAAATCTATACCGAACAAGCACTTAATTGCTTATTTTCGCACGTTAGGTCTAAATTAATAAATCGATCGGCTGATTAGAACTTTCAACTATAATCACTTGAATTCAACTTGTTAATAAATGAGATTAAATTATTTGTTATAATAAAAACTTTAAAGTTATAATCAACCATAGGTCAATAGTTTTCTCTTCTTTTCAACCACACATTCTCTAATAAAATAATATAATATGTAAGTACATTTTTTTTTCCTTTTTAACCATATATTCTCTAAAAAATTATATGTAAATAAAACTTTTTTTTCCCTTTTTTTAAACCATATATTCTCTAAAAAATTATTATTCTAAAATACATTATTCCAATTTTTCATTATAATGGGGGCCAAACAAGGGCTATATGTGAAACGCGACTTTCACGACCCCATAAACTTCTAAAAAAACCAAATAAAGTGTCCTCAGTTTAGGTCCCAAAAAACCTTCCCTAGCCCCCAATTCATTTTTCATTTATCGATTGTTGAGAAGGACGTGAGAAGCTACTATTTATAAAGCCTTATCCCACCAATTGCACCATGTGTTCGAGGTCTCTCTCATTCCAATCTTTCATTTTTGCAAGCTCATATCCACTATTTGAGGAACGAAATATCATCAAACTTCGATGGTTGGTGTACAATTGCAATACCTTTTGGGTTGTATTCGTGTTTGTTGTTCTTCGTTCATCACTTTATTCAATGTTCAATGATATATCCTTCCTCAAATAGTTGGATACATGCATGCAAAAATGGAAGATTGGGATGAGAGAGAAGTCGAGCATATGGTATATTTGGGGGATAGGATTTATAAGTAGTAGTTTCTTGTATCCCTCTCAACAGTGGACTCTATCTTATTACACAATTTAATTGTATGTGGGTGAGATGAGTGAATTGGCAGCTAGGGTCTTTTAGGGCTGAAATTGGAGACACTTTATTGGGTTTGAAAGAAGTTTATGGGCTATGGAAGCCGCGTTTCACATATGATAATTTTGATGAGTTGATGGATTGATTGAATTATAATTTTTTAAGAATTATAACTTGTCACGTTGGATTTTTTGCGATATATTAACAACGAATAAACGAAATATGGCGGACGATGGATGAAGTGCAATATCTCAAAGGTGAGTGACAATTGAGAAATGATTTGAAGTTTGACGAGTAAAATGTGATCAAGTGTAAGGTGGATTTGATTGGGTTGTAATGTTTTTGAACTTGTTACGCAAGATGTTCGTTAGCCACGTCAACAAATAACGTAACGGAAAGGCACTAGATGGCACTGTTGATGGGATGGATAGAGTGCAAATGGGCATAGTTCGGTGAGCACTATGAAGTACTTTAAAAGTTGATGAGAAAATTGTGACCATGTATAAGCTGGATAATTATTGAAACAATTGACTCGAAATAGGGCTTAATCTAAACTTTCCCTCGAAAAATAGTGAAAGACGGGAGTTAATATAATCAATGGTCACTGAACTTCACTATAAGTTACTATTTGCTCGCCGAATATTAAAATGTTACTATTTGCTCACTAAACATTACTACAGGTAACTGCTTGCTTATCGAAATTTAAAAGATTACTTATTATTCACCTAAATTTGTATAAAGTTACCCATCAATCGTTCATATTATTTCTATGAGTGTTACCTTTTGCAAAATTTAGTGAACAACGAGTAACTTTATTCAAATTTAGGTGAGTAACGATTAATCTTTTAAATTTCCAAGCTATAACAAAATTAAATGAGCAACCATTCATTAAATTATTTTCAATTGATATTTCGAGCTCTTCGTTCTGTTCATTTCGATTTAAATTTCGGGTCCGGTTGCACTTCAATATCACTTCCTTCTCGTTTGATCGGGGTAGTAAGCTCCATCACCAAACCCTAAACCTATGTTTGTATGACGAATGAAGATAGTGACATACAACGTGAACGGACTAAGGCCTCGCGTCTCACAATTCGGTTCTCTTCTCAAGCTACTCGATTCCCTTGATGCCGATATTATCTGCTTTCAGGTTTGCCCATTTGCTCTTTCCCCCCTATAATGGAAAATTTTATTTATAAATAATTTTTATTGTTATTTACGCAGGAGACAAAACTGTCGAGACAAGAACTGAGAGCAGATTTGGCGAGGGCAGAGGGATACGAGTCTTTTTTCTCTTGCACTCGCACTTCCGATAAAGGCCGCACTGGATATTCCGGTAAACACTGTTTCTCTTTCTATTTGTAGTTATTTATTTAGTGTTACTAGCTTTGTACTAAATAGACTAAGGGAGTGTTTGATAGCATGGAAATGGAAAAAAAAGATGGAATTGGAATTGGAAATTCAACTTTTGGTGTTTGATACCTTATATTTTCTATGGAATTGCATTTCCTGGGTTTCTTGAAACTTGGAATTTTCCTTGTTTTGGTGGAATTATATGGTGAGAATTCAAATTCCACCCTACTGTAGCATTTTTTTTTTTTGTTGGTAATGGAAACCAATTCTAAGAATTATTGTAAAAAGATATTTTCCTTTAATTGACAATTTTCATGTAAAACAAAGCCAAACGAACATAAAAAAAACACTTTTATTTCAACATTTTCCACTTGAAAAATTATACCAATCAAACACAATAATTTACAATTCCCAGGAAAACAATTCTAGGCAATTCAATTCGTGGAATTCATTTTCTAGACAATTCAATTCCATTTTTGCAATCAAACGGACCCTAAATGTTAACTGTAGAAGACGTGAAATTTAGATGGGTGTGGACTTAGAAAATGAAATCCATCTTTTTTTTTTTTTTTTTTTAATCAATTCTTCCATACCCGTCTAGCCACTGGCGGACCTATATATGGTCTTGGTGGGTCACTTGACCCTCCAACTTTCAAGAATTATTATTATTATTATTATTTTTGGTGGCTTTTAGTGCCAAAAATCAGATTTGGGCAGTAACTGTAGTTGGGATTTTTTATTAGAATGGAGTTAATTAGAATGGAGTTATAGTGATGACCAAACAATTGAAAGAGTGAGAGTTGAGATTATTTTGTCATCTGCGATATTTAATTTGAAAATTCTTTGGAAATTATTATTTATCATATATGTAAGATTATTTGGAATTTTTTGAGAATTGTTATTTTACATATATGTGTGATTTGTGAATTTTTGACAATGATCACTTGTATGTGCTCATGTAGTATACATAATCTTAACTTTTTAATAAGTTTGATCGTGCCCCACTAACACCAAATGTCTGCGTCTGCCACTGCCGTCTAGGTATTCACATTAAAACTTGGTAAGTTGACAAGTTTCAAAACATAATCAGCTAAAAGCAGCATTGTTAATGGAAAGTGAGAGTATATTTTCTTATTGAGCTATACATCCATGTAAGAGTTTAACGTTAAAATTTGATAAATAAGATATTTTACTGTATGGTCAACTCATACTCTCTTTTCTAGTATGGAAGTACTGCTTAGGAATTGAATATTCCCTTATTGGAATTTGAATCCATTGCTAGTTTTATGGGTTTAATCAGGTGTTGCGACATTTTGCCGAGTCAAGTCTGCATTTTCGAGCAAAGAAGTGGCTTTGCCACTTTCTGCTGAGGAGGGCTTCACTGGCCTTCTTGAGAATTTCTCAGGGTATGCGTCTAGAAGGGATGACTCAGTGGTTGAAGGCCTCGAGGGTTTTTCAGTAGATGAGCTTTTGAAGGTTGACAGAGAAGGGCGTTGTATAATCACTGACCACGGTCACTTCGGTGAGTATAACTATCAGTATTTGTTATTTTACATTCATAGTTTTCAGTAGTCTTACCAAACAATATGTTGGTATCAGTATTTATTATTTTACATTCATGGTTTTCAATCGTCTTACTGAGCAAAATGTTGTATTTGCTATTCAGTGATGAATTATTATCTGGTTTGCAGTTCTTTTCAATGTATATGGGCCTAGGGCTGAATGTGATGATACAGAAAGAATTCAATTTAAGTTCAATTTTTTCAAAATACTACAGGTAAATCTGTTGTTCTATAATCACACAAAAAATGGTCAGTGTTGGTGTTTTGACAATGTTTATCTATGGTTGTTTGGTAAAGTCTTCATATTTCATGGCTTTTGTGAACTCTTTAAACTAAATAAAGTTGGGTTCAAATTGTGTAGTGGCATTAACATTGAACGTTATCAAGACTGGAGATATGTATAGTTTGGAATATGAAATAATTGGAGCTCTGCAAGGAATTAATTTATTCACTGGTCACCACAGTACTGTCATGTCATACTCGGTAGAAGGAAAAAAAAAAAAAAAAAAAAAAAAAAAAAAAAAAAAAAAAAAAAAAAAAAAAAAAGGGTTCAAATTGTGTAGTGGCATTAACATTGAACGTTATCAAGACTGGAGATATGTATAGTTTGGAATATGAAATAATTGGAGCTCTGCAAGGAATTAATTTATTCACTGGTCACCACAGTACTGTCATGTCATACTCGGTAGAAGGAAAAAAAAAAAAAAAAAAAAAGAAAAGAAGAAGAAGAAGAAGAAGAAGAAAACATTGTATCAGTTTCATGTCCAGAAAAGTAAAAAAATTGGATGTTTGTCAGTAAAAAGGTTCCTCAAATTTTTGATTGTTTGGATAATAAATGGCATTGTTCTACTTTTAGGATTAAAATTACTTGAATCACTGTTTTTTCAATTTTTTTTTTAAATTTGAATTTTTTTTATATTGGATATTACGCTCTACGCTTCCATATTCATTTTAGTAATTTTGCTTTAGAGAAGATGGGATTGCCTTCTGTGTCGGGGTCGCAGGGTATTTGTAGTTGGGGATCTCAACATTGCTCCTGGTGCTATAGATCGATGTGATGCTGGACCAGAGTTTGAGAAAAACGAGTGAGTTACTGGCTAATGACATTTTCTTCTTGACAAAATCACATACTGCATGTCTATTGATGCCTTCTCTTGGATTCGGTACAACCATAAGGTCACATGTACTTACCACTTGACTACCTGCATTGCAGGTTTAGAAAATGGTTTCGATCTTTGCTAGTGAGAAATGGGGGACAATTTTTTGATGTTTTCAGAGAAAAACATCCTGAGAGGTGAACATCCCGATTTCGGATTTTGTGTTTATGTGGAAGGATTATGTAAAAGTTGTTTGCAAATTTAATTCACGTAGCATGTGTTGTAGTCAACGTGATTTCTTCACACGTCCATGTTCCTTTCTATTATTTTGATAATTTGCTATTTATAATGTGATCGTTTTTAAGTATTATTGTTGTACGTGATTTACACTTTCTGATATTAAATTGGCCTGTAGAAGATCACTTTCTGATATTAAATTGGCCTGTAGAAGAGAAGCCTACACATGCTGGCCAACGAATTCTGGTGCAGAGGAGTTCAACTACGGCACACGTATTGACCATATTCTCATTGCTGGGCCATGCTTTCACAGAGATGAAAATCAAGGAGACCATAGCTTTGTGTTGTGCCATATTAAAGAGTGTGACATTTTACTGCAGTTCAAACGCTGGAAACCTGGTAATATACCCAGGTATATCTTCGGGATTGTGGACTGGTGTCTGGTGATTATATGATTCTATATTGAAATTTCATGCGAAATGATACTTGTCTACCTTAGTTCCTGGTTGTACTGTGTTTACTATTATTTCCTCTGCAATTGCTTACATGTAGAGATATATAGACATATGTTTCTGTTTAATGTTCTTATCTTTCTTCTGCTCCCCCCTTCCAACCATTTGGTTCTAGAACATGTGCACGTGAGAGCATGGAGATGGCATAATACTTTGTTTATTGATCTGATTCGTGACACAGTTTAGAGCCTTTTAAGCTAAGCTGGTGCATCAGTGGATTATAAAGAAAAAGAAAAGTGAGGTCCATAGGAGATGCTGTCACAATCACAACATATGAATATCATGTTTTTTGCTACCATACAAATGCTCATTAATTTCTTGGCTTGCTGTGATATATTTGTTCTTGTTGTCATGTCTTCCATGCGCAGGTGGAAAGGAGGGAGAAATGTCAAATTGGAAGGTTCAGATCATGTTCCTGTCTATATGAGCTTGGTTGAGATCCCCAATATTCAACCCCATAATACTCCCCCATTATCTACTAGATACTGTCCCCAGGTCTACGGATGTCAGCAGACTCTAGGTGCGAGTCCCTTATTGTTTGCATAATGTGTGTATCTGTGTGTGTGTGGTTGGGTGGGGGGGGGGTCCAAAATATATTTTGAATGTACATTTTATACTGGCCTTCCTGTACAGCATTTCTTGGTTGACTTGGCATGTGTATTTTAATAGCCATTAAAAAATTGTTTGTTGGTGTATTTGTCCAATTAATGATATTACATTGCGAAATTACCAAAGACTGGATGTTTATTATTATAGGAAAAGCAATTAGGAAGTATTTTTATGAATTTTACCTTATTTCCTTGTTTAGTTAAGATTTCGACCACAAATAGGAGTAGGACTTTTGTATTTATTACACACACTTTGGCAATGAATAAATGTATAAAATTCTCTCTCGCCTCTTCTCTTCCTCTTTCTCTTCTCCTTTCTTTCACCTACAATTCTAGTAGTTCGATTGCATCCGTCGTGAATTATCTTTTGATGATCAATTTCATGGGTTTGACTTTGAACATATCAAGCATACAGAAGTGAGATATTCTATTAAGCAGTTATGGGAAAGAATAATGAAAGGAAATTTTCATTTTAGGTGGCCTATCATTAGTTTGTGATGTCCAAAAATGAAATGAAGCCTGTTAGTTTGGAGTGGAGGGGATAATTTTGTTGGATTAACTTGGCATATATTAGATTTGGGAATACCTTACACGTTCTGTTCTTCATCCATAGTCAACTAAACTTATTCTGGATCAACTAGAGTTTTACAAACATTTAATTTCCCAAACCTGAGGCCCAGCTTTCTATAAATGATAAAAATATCCCTGAACTATAGAGTGTAAGGTAACATAAAATTTTTGGCAAAACTGAATAATGGCAGCAACCATTGAAGGTTAATCAAGGACATAAAATGAGATAAAGTGGAACAACAAAAAAGTCAGCATTTTGATTCTCTTTTGTATGTATGTAATATTGTTTCCTCACCAAAAGCATGGAGTCTTTTTGATTTCCAGAAAGGCCATGAATAGGTTGATCTGGAGTTAAACGAGGTCAAATAATTGGTGTAAGGATATATTTTATGCAGTTTAGATGGTGTTAGTTGAGTACTTAGAGATTGTTCAATTAAGTGTAGTGATAGTCATGGAAAGTCTATAAATACGGCTGTAAACTTCCATTTCAGGTTGGGGGAAATGGGGGAAGAAAATGAAAATGAAAATGAAAATGAGCTTTGCAGCACTAGAGTTCTATCTTGGGTTTTTGAGATGCCAACCTCCTGTAGGCATGATGTATAAGGCTTCTAGGAGGTTTCTTTTCTTGTTTCCATCTCACATTCCGAATGATTTCTTTTTACAACTTACATGGAACCTAAGTCTTAGAGTCACTAGTAGGCTCTGAATTTTTAGAATTTACATATTGGTCCCTGAACTTTGGCTAGTCTTTCATTTAGGTCCTGAATTTTTGGTTTTGAATAATTTGGCCCTAAATTCGATATTAATGGTTAGTACTCAGGTATGGGTTGTGATAGTGGTGGCCGAAACACTATTATTCCCAAGAAAAAATATCTAGACAACCTTGTAAAATTTTCTAGAATCGGTTAATGGCTGGCCATGTTGGCAAATATTCCCTTAAAGGGAATGGTAGCCATGAAGATGCTTCATTCATGAAGACCGAAAATCTTCAAATTGTCTTCTTATTTGGATCAAGTGCCCTCTATAACTGAAGCTACCTCGTGAGTCTACAAAACGGTTAATATTGGATAACCAGAAGTAGATTAACTTTGAACTGCCGGACATTACATAGGCACAAGATGAAGTGGTAAAGATAGAGTTTGTTGGGGCTGATAGAATTTTGAAGCAGGAACAGACTGCTGTGTAGCCAAGGCTTATGTTGTTGCATGAAAAGCAAATAAAATAAATGTTTCAACATAAGAAGCCGCAGTTGGATGAGGAATAAGTTGAAATGAGGTTTTACTCTCTCAAAGATATTGACATTGTTTTCTTGATTTTAGATGAGTTTTGTGATATGAAAAATGGCCCTTCATTTATTTTATGTTATTTCAACATGGAATTAATGTGTTCCAGCTTTCAGAGGTACAACTAATGGTTTAACTTTTGTCGCACAAAAACGATATTTCCCTCCTGATTGTGTATCTTGATTAAATGGATTGTGATGCTGGATGAATTAAAAGAGAAAGAATAAGCAAGAAGAGAGGGAGAAATCGGAGAGAATGGGATGAGAAAATCGGAGAAGAAGTAGAAATCAGGGGAAATGAGAGAAGGAAGGAGCCATAGTCAACAACCCAAGCATTCTATTCTTTAATTCATCAATTCATCAACTGTCTCAAATACGCAACAAAACAGAAATATATAGCAAAACAAAAACCCTAAAGAGAAGAGCTTGGGCCAAACCCATTATACAAGCCCAATAACAGGAACATAAATAATATTTCAAATAGAATATAACTAATAGTCCAAATAGAAAATAAATAGTAAATGGATGTCTGCATCAACTCTCCCGGGTGGGAGAAAAACTCGACCCCGTCGAGTGGATAAATCAAAATGTTGCAATGAATATGATGCTAAAGGCTCCAAGTCATGCCACGGGAGACGATCTTTCTTGATGACCAAATACCTAAACTCCACAAATGATAATAAAGCTAGTTGTAACTTATCCTCAAGAATATGATCCAATCGAGGAGGATGTCTTTCTTTGTAATCACATACCGATACGGAACTCCTAATAGTAAAAATTCATGCCACTCATCCCCAAAATCTTCATCATTGGTTAACACAATCTGTTTATCTAAAATAACATCAATTTCATCTTTGTGTGCTATGACATTTGTTATTGGAGTGAAAATGGTAATATATTTAGGTTGGGGATCCACATAAAGACGTGGAAAAGGATCATCAAGGAAATTAAAAAGGCCTTTGTAAGTAAGTAAGTCTTCAGTATGTAAAGTGGTGGCCAAAATGTGATGAAAAATCAATGACATGTGCATATGGACCAACATACTTTAAAACTTTAAAAGTACCAGCACTACCGCCAAATATTAAATTCAAAATATCGTTTATGCAAATTAGCTTGAGGTTTATATAATACATTGCTTGCGTCAATTTGCTTATTAATCTCAATATACAAGTCATGAAGATGATGCGCAAATGCTTCAATTGACATCGACACACTAGCATGTGGGGACATGGGAATAAGGTCTAATGGCCGCCTAGACTTAAAACTATGAACAACTTGAAATGGATTCGGATCTAGAGACCGATTTACAGAATTGTTATACGCAATTTGAACAGTTGGGGGAATCAAGTCCCAATTCTCAAGATTTTTCTGGACTAGAGATTTGAATAAATTGCCAGGACTTTGGTTAACGACTTCAATTTGACCATCAGCCTCGGGTTGGTTTGCAGTGGAGAATTTCGATTTAGTGCTAACCATAGGCAACTGGGCTCCTTCAAAGTGACTAGGGAAATTATGGGATACAGAATCTGGAGTCCCAAGAAGAGCCTGGATGCCACCTAAGGAGGTGTCATCACTATCATCGTCAAAATCTTCAAGTTTAAGGTCATATGCTAGATCTTCTAATGACTCTTCTATTGCATTTTTTCGTTCTTCTATGACTAAGGCTCGATTAGGATATTTGGTAGAGATGTGGCCAAAGTCCTTACAGCTGATGCATAACAAGTGAAAGTTCCAAAAATTATACCCTTATTTTCCAAAATTAGAGGAACATTAGACGGGGGAGGTCCTAGAAGGGACTTAACGGGAGGAAGTGAAGCGAATGAAACCGAAGGATGATTGTCATTATGCTTTCTACATGAAGAAGACGACCTTGGGCTGTCACGACCTTTACACTTGTCTTTCCAAAGGGAAGGAATACTAGACTGGAAAGGCTCTATGATAGACTTATGATGAGATGACGCTAATGAGATGGGTGAACGATGGTGATTACGCTTTTCATATGCAGTACTAATAATCAACTCATAATCTCGAGCTAAAGAATAAGCTTGATTAAGAGCGGTGACACCCCGAAAGAAAAGCTCATGCCTAAGATCATCTCTTAGACCTTGTGTAAATCTACTCAAAGTCAAGGCCTCATCCTCAATGACATGACATTTCATTCGAAATTCCTCAAATTGAGCAATATACTTAGTTACTAGTCGATTCTCTTGTGTAAGGGTGTTCCATTGGGTAAAAATTTCATGATCTAAGCAACCATCGAAAGTAGGAGTGTTTAAGTCAATGTCTCTAAAGAAACGCTCCTTACGACGAGGAAGAGAATGAGTACCATGATGACCATGGTCTTGTTCTCGCTCACGAACCTGATCCCTATTTCGATGATCGTGTCGAAAATATTTTTGATAACTTTGTCCATTATGATATTGTCTATTATGAGACGCTTTAGAATTAGTATCAGTCAAACGAGGGGTTCGCTTAAAATTGCTCAACTTAGCAGCTAGGTTCTTTCTCTTCTCACGAGTAGCAGTTATATCTGATTGGACAATCGACAGGCTAGTGGCAAGTTGCACTAATTGTCTAGTGAGTGCATCAAATTGTGAGGGGTCCATGTTTAAAGTAGTAAAGTGACAGGACGACCACTATGCAATTGTACGCAAAGCAACACTACCTAAATGAAATGCAATAGAGAGATCAATATGCAACAAGGACAAACAATTAAAAACAGCAATTTGAAATTCTCTCTCTCTCTGTGAACAAATTTTGGGGTTACGGAATCCAACTATGCAAGCTAATAGTGCTGAGGTGTGTAAATAATAAAGCAAGGGTCCAATTGACTTGTCAAAATTTTCAATCACATAGGTAAATGGGGTAACAATGGCAAGTTAATTCAGTGACTGATTCCAGGCAAGTGAAGTTTGAGGCCAAAGTTATGAGAGCACAGTGACACAAAGACTCTAAATGATGCACTTTTAAAATAAAACAGCAGTATAAACTAATGAGAATTAGGAGATAACGACTCCTTGTTGTCCAGTTGACTGAGGTGGCTGTAATGGTTCTTTGCAATCGATGGAGGCAGTTGGCAAAGGAGACAATTAATTTCTTGATTGATGAAGTCGGTTGTTGTCTGCAATCTTCAAGAGAGTTGTTGAACAATTGAATCGCCGGTCCGTATGGCTTATCCGAGTCAAACAAGCCGTTGTTCCAATTTATATAGTCCCTTAACAAACCGAGGAAGTCCACAGATGCGAATATAAATTCCAATTCTTCAATCTCAGTACCTCAAAATCAACCCGTCTAGTGGTGCAATTGAGGCTTAGAGGCTGTAGTCGATGGTGGATTAAGTGATATGAGATTCTGGACATAGTGAATGCTTCTGCCTAGCTGGAGTTGCCTGGTGTTATAGCAATTGGACTAGCGACAGGGAAAACGGCCAAATTCGGTGAATGTGGGGAGGGAGTCCACCTCGAATGGACGAAAAATGACTGGGTGCTGGATGGCAAGTGATGGGTGGCGTTCGGCGGCGGAAATTGAAGGGATTGGCGGGACCAAATGGGGAGTTGAAGGAGTCTGGGCTGCGGTTGTGATTTGGCAGCAGAGACGAGTTTGGGATTGACGATGTATGCCGGCGACTTGGTTGTTCAATCAACGGCGTTGGGGCGACGACAGCTGGAAGGATGACTGGCGATAATAGTAGGGGAGATGGTTGGGTTTAGGTGGAAATTGGGTGTTGACCGACGGCAGACAGTAACGAGGTTGGAGATGGTAACTGGAATGCAATGAAGTGGGCTGATTGTTGTGATTTGGGCCGGTAATGGGCTAGGTTGAATGGGGTTGCTTTATGTGTGAATAGATTTAGGTTATATGTTCGGGTAACTATGTGATAAATGGGCTGGGGATTGGGTTATTGGCTGGGTTGGATAATTGGGTTGATGTAATGGCCTTATTGGGCTGAATATGAGATGCGGATAATGGCCTCTAGGACTTGGGCTACTTATGATTATGTGGATGTAGATTGAGCCTGAGTAACGGGTTAAAAGATTTGGAGACTAGAATATTTGACTGGGTGTTATAATGGGCTGTTTGGATTAATAATGGATTGTGTGTATGGATTAGGGTTTGCAGGAAGCAGCAGCAGTAACATAGCAATTTGGATTTTTTTTTTCGCGGGTGAACAGTACCCGGGGACGGTACTTTTTTTTTTTTTTTTGAAATTGACAAAATGCTAAACTGAAATTCTGGGCGTAACAGTACCCAAAATGAACAGTAACTTTTTTTTTTTTTTTTTTTTAACTAGGAAAGAAAATTGCTATCTTCCAACAAATCCTTTTCTTTTCTGCCGTTCAACAAGTTTTGGGAATTGGAAAAGAAGAAAATTTTGAATTGTAAGAGAAAAATACCCAAGATTTAGCTCTGATACCAAATTTGATGCAGGACGAATTAAAAGATAAAGAATAAGCAAGAAGAGAGGGAGAAACCGGAGAGAATGAGATGAGAAAATCGAAGAAGAAGTAGAAATCAGGGAAAATGAGAGAAGGAGGGAGCTATAGGCAACAACCTAAGCATTCTATTCTTTAATTCATCAACTGTCTCAAATACGCAATAAAACATAAATAAATAGCAAAACAAAAACTCTAAAGAGAAGGGCTTGAACCAAACCCATTATACAAGTCCAATAATAGAAACATAAATAATATTTCAAATAGAATATAACTGATAGTTCAAATAGAAAATAAATACTAAATGGATGGCTGCATCAGATTGTTTCTTTGCGGATTCCCATATGTAGCTTTTGTAGCTGTGTAATTTGAATTTAACAGTGGATTTCTTATCTCATATCTTTTCCATTCTTTGGTTATGCATGGAAAGATAGAAACAAAAGCTACATAACTTGAATTCAACGTTGGATTTCTTATCTCATGTCTTTTCCATTCTTTGGTTATGCATGGAAAGTTAGAAATAAAATTATTAGAGTTTTAGGTATTTACTTAATCAAGTAGAGTCTAGGTGCCTTTGAGAAATGAATCAAATAAGCCGTTCAATTCAGAGGCTGAGTAACAATACGATAAGGCATCAGTTATCAGTTCAAATCCGATGAGGGGAATTCTGATAGACTTCCTACTTATTAGCTAAAAATAAAATAATGAACTTAGTTTGCTCTACTTGATTGAATTTTCATTAAAGGAAAGAAAGCATGGAGTTTAAATAAATCACTCACAGCGCCTTAAACCATATATTTCTTATCCACTGTAATATCTGTATCTCAAGCACAGGTTGAGGTTCTGCTGATAATGGGAAAAGAAAACAGAACAGCTTCTCATACCAAGAACTACAAAATTACCCCCTTTACTAAAACTTTAGGCTAGTTTTCTCTAGTGTAGGGCAAATGATGCAGAGGCAAAAGAACATATACAAGAAAGCTTCAATAGCTCTGTCAAGACTCAATTATATCACATCTCTAATTAAAATGGGTAAAGAAAAGTAGATGTATGTTTATAGACTCCACAAAATTAGTGTTAGGAGATAGGCTCTTTATAAGCAAACTAATTTAATAAACAAATAAACCTATTCTGGACATTAAGACCATCAAATCATAACATGAACCAACCTACCTAAGGCTCAACTGAAACCATATCGTGAAGGATTCTAGAAAATACAGAGATGTAGACGTAGAAAACACCCCAAAACACTTGATTTAGAGTATCAAACTAATAAATGAATGTCTTCAATGTTCAATTCACAGATTTGATTCAATTCCCTAAATTGTCCTTTTCTTTGATTTTGCTTTTACTGGAGATTACTGTAGCCTGCATCAATTAAGAGTTGGAGTTCAGTTCTATCTTTACTAGCATCCTTGAGTTCTCTTGCATTTACTTGTAACAGGTTGAGTGCTGAGAGTTTTCAATTTCTTCTGTAATATTTAGTCTTGTAGCAGCTTGGGTTGCAAGTAGTGTTTAAATTCCTTTACCAGTTCCGAGTTCAAACTTGTAAATTTGTTTAATAAATTTAAATGCAATTCAATGTTCTTTTTTTATTTTGTAATTATTCAACTAGTTTTAATTTCTCATACTATTTTTTTCTTCAATTACTTTGTTAATTTTATTTCAATTTAATTTGTACAATCTACAGATTATTGTTAAATCTATAATTCTTGTCTTCTGTGTTCTTCTCGTAGCTTCGTTTTCATCATATCCCCATCAAATCCCAATGGTTCCAAACAGTAGCTTTAACCAATTTATTAACATGATAATCCTCTGGAAGTTCACTTCTTGGAAAGGAAAATGATTGGCAATTTCTTTAAAATATTGTAGGTTGATAGGGTGATTCATTATATTTTATTATAGGTCCTGAACAATATATAGATCAAACATGCAAAGCTACAATTTCTTCTTTAAAGAAGTGATCCAATTACTTCAAATGGTAGGAATTTGCATCAATTATTCTATGGCCAAACTCATCTCTACACTAACACCCAAATTGGTTCTATGTATGATGTTACCACATTCCTCATCTTCTTAATCGCTCAAAAATCTGCAGTAAGTGCATGGACTAAAGAGAGCCAACTAGTTTTGTGTCAACATCAAGCATGCTAATCCCCTCTCTTTTTCCTTCAAAATGGTCCCTTTTCATTGGAGAATCTGACCGTTGGAATTATGTTCTGTTTTTTCATTTTTAAGTAATTGATTATTATACATATATCTCTTAGGGTTCGTTGGAATTCCCTGTTGACCAATACTTGGACGATGTTTATTGACTCTTATCTTTTAGTATTAACTTTCTCTACTCGATCTTTGTACAGGAGTAAACTGTTATATCTTTTGAATATGATTTTATTTGAGGACTTCCTAATATTTCCCCCTAGTCTTTACATGAAGCTGTTCTAACTGTAATCTTTTTTATCCATGTGCTATAATTTGACAGTGTCAATGTTAGTTAAAAGGAAATCTGCTGAAGAATTTAGTAGATGTGGAGGATCAAGTTCTTTTTCAGAAGAAAGTACTGTTCTCCAAAGTTGCAATCAGCTTGTGAAACGACCACCACATTCCTGCAGTTCATCTTCATTAAACTTGTCACATGAAGGTGTATTTTCTACACCAGCAGAGGCTCCTGAATGTTATGACAAAGAATCATCTTCTAACTTACCTTGCACTGATATTGATGGTGCTAAATTATTGGCCAGAGTGGAGAACAAGAAGAAAGAAAGACAAAGTAATTGGTCTCAGCTTTCACTAAAATCGTTCTTCCAGTCAAGTAACAGTGACAACTCGAGCAGTTTGTTTGCGGACAATAAGCTCAATCAAGCAAATATCTCTAATCCTTGTGAAACCAATGAAACTATTGGTGAAGGTGGGGAATTTGATGCTCAAAAGGAGTGGGATTTACAGCAAAGTGTGCCAATGCAAGAGGAAAATGGGATTGATGGCTCTGAACCTCTAGAAAATGAAAAGAACAATGTGGCCATAGTAGAGTGGCAAAGGATTCAACAACTGATGCAGAATAGTATTCCTCTTTGCAAGGGTCATAAGGAACCCTGCGTTTCTCGAGTGGTGAAGAAAGCTGGTCCAAATCTGGGTCGCCAATTTTATGTCTGTGCACGTGCTGAGGTATCTATACGTATATTTACCTTCATTCTCTAAAATATTTCTGGTTTGTGTTTGTTAAATGAAGAGAAGAATGTTGTTTGGACATATTGCATTCAGTACACCTCAATTTTTGGCCTTGCAGTGGTCAGGTTCAGATACCTCCAGCCTGTTAGTATCAAAATTTTCTGAAAGCTACCATTTTTGAGGTTGCTTTTTCATACGCTCAAAGAATTATAAAAATTGTATTTGTAATTTGCTTTGTATTGATAACATATTAAGTGGCCTTATTGCATGGCATTAAGGTGCTAGGGTGGTACAGAGATTAAATGCCAGTGCTTTAATGCTGGTGAAGCTATGATCTTGCAATCTTAGTTTTCGTTTTTTTTTTTTTTTTTTTTACCAGCTTTTTCACCTGTCTCAGGGACCTGCATCTAATCCTGAAGCTAACTGTGGTTATTTCAAATGGGCTGCTTCGAAATTGACACGTAAGAGATGACTAGCACAAGGCAATGGTTCATTAGTGCGTAGATCTATTATTAAATTTTGCTAGTGGAGGCCATCTCTGTGCAAACCTGCCATGAAGGTATAAAGTTCTTTAAAGTTTTGAATATTCTGTCTCTCTTTCTCTGATTTTTTGAAAAAAAATCTACTAGTGTTGACATGTATAATGTGGTTGTCAAAAGAAAATCTATGTAATCGAGTCTCTTTTTGGATCCATATTATATTGAAAGCAAAGTACTTTGTCGGCCAACTCATACCTATGGGTGAGCCGCCTCCACCTCCAACCAACAACCATCACCACCTGCCCCTCAAGCTACCAAACTCATCAACCACTAGAAGCCTCTCATCGCCCTCTACAATCTCCCACCAATGCCTGCCCACAATTCCGCTAGAAACAGCTCCAATCTCCAAAACACTGCCCACCCTTACCACAAAACAACCTTCCCCCCTGCTACCCAAGCCGCTGGTCACCACCACCACAGGTGACGGCAAGCCATCCTCTTCACTCCCCGCCATCCCACCTGGCCTCACGCCGCCTAAAACAGCCACGGCCTCCATCGACCCTCTCCAACCCGCAGTCGACCTTCCAAGTGCAGCCCATGTTTCCGGCCACACCCACACCTCGAATCATCCACCAAATTTCTCAACTCCCCTAGCTGCTGACTCCTTTGGAGTATTATCAACAAATTCAAATCAGATTCTCAATGTTCAAAAAGCAGGTACTTTCCAAGTCAGGATTGTGTGATAATGCTGATTCAATTGGTGATCCTTATGTCTTGCAATTGAATAATTCATCACCCAGTCATTCAATTGAGGGTGAATTGGGACAATTGAAACCAAGAACATATGCTAAGGTGTTAAATGGGTTTCAAGTAAATGAATTAGACTTAGATTCGTGCCCTCTGGAATTAAATTATTTTAAGCCTCAGTGTGATAATGGTTGAGTAAAGGTGGTTCTGCCTATTGAGGTGGCTGCCTTAAGTTGTGAAATGTGGAGGGCGACTTTGGTTGGCAAGAAATTAGCTTTTCCTGTAGTAAATTCTTTTCCTCATGAATTGTGGGACAGATTTGGCCTTAAGGAGGTTTTATCTTCAGATGCTGGTTTCTATTTTTTCAAGTTTGATTCTCTCCGCCAAGCTCTATCAGTTCTTGAAGGAGCGCCTTGGCATACGGCTAATAGGCCACTTATTTTGAAGCGTTGGCAACCTAATATGACTTTAGCTAAGGAGAATTTACGTTGCATTCTTGTTTGGGTGAAACTTTATAATATTCCTTTTGAGTAATGGACAGCAGAGGGATTGAGTCATGTAGCTAGTGTTGCGGGACGTCCTTCACGGGCAGATGCGACCATTCTTACACGTAAACGACTTAGCTATGCATGTTTTTGTGTTGAGATTAATGCTTTGGAGGAGTTAGTGGAGGATTTTGATTTCCGTTGTGTGAATAGGGATTGGATAACTATTTGTGCTCAGTTTGAGTGGTCCCCATTAAATGTTCGAAATGTGGGGTATTTGGTCACAATTGCTCTTCTCATGCTAAGCCTAGTGAGGGTAAGAGTAAGCTTATTTAATTGCTAAGGATAAGGTTGGCCCGAGTGGTGTAGCTAATGTGAAACCACCTATCGAGGATGAATGGACCCATGTCTCGCATAAGGGGAAGTCTACAGGTTGTGTTGATTCTGGTGTTGTTATGCCTATTCATGGCATTCATACTTTGGCGGATAATTCTAAGGAGGACCAAGTAGAGGTTGATTTGTTGCCTTCGCATAGTGATCTTGAAAAGCATTTGGTGGTTGCCAAGCTGACTCATGGAGAAATTGATAAGTCATCTCCACCTATTGATCCTGATTTGCAGATGGTGGTATCGAATGTGCCCAACGAGACTACTGAAATTGGGGAAGAAGGGGAAGTTTCTCCAGTTCCACTTACCATTCTAGGTGAAGATAGCGATACTTCTGTCCCTCAGTCTAACACGCTAGCAACAAAAGCTAGAGATTCACTTCAGAAAAAGAAGAATGGGTCGGGGGGCAAGAATAAGAAGAACAAGAAGCATCATTTCCCTAGGGGAGGTAGATGGCGTTAGTCATATTGAGGTTGCGATTCTATCCTTGATTTTAATCATGTTTTTTGGATACTGGAATGTTAGAGGGTTAAATGACCCCCTCAAACAATCTAAAGTAAAGAACCTCATTACCTCCAATAGGCTTTCTTTGTGTGGGTTGGTGGAAACTAAGGTTAAGGAGAAGAATCAAAATAAGGTGGCGAATGCCATCTTCAAGTCATGGAGTGTCCTTACGAATTACAATTGCTCTCCACTTGGTAGAATTTGGATATGTTGGAATCCAAATGATGTAGATGTTTTACTGGTGGGCTGCTCAGCTCAAGCTATCCATGTTCGTGTTAATGCATGTAATGGTACATGGAGTTGTGTGGTATCAGTGGTATATGGGGATAATATCCCAATTAAGCATGTTGATCTATGGGACGATTTAGTAGCTAGGCATGGAGGTTTTGCATATTTGCCGTGGGTGTTCATAGGGTACTTCAATTCTGTTCTCTCCCCGTCCAAAGTGGAAGGTAAGCCTACATGTCAAGATGATCTTGAAAACTGCATGGCAACAGTGGGTCTGGATGATTTGAAGTTTGGTGGTTGTTTATATACATGGACTAATAAGCATGTATCTGGCTCTATTATCAAGAAACTAGATCGTGTATTGGTGAATTCGAAGTGGGAGGATGAGTTTCAGGGATCGGCAACTATTCTCATTGCTAGTGTGTCGGATCATTCTCCTATGGTTGTGAAACTTGCAAAGCTACCGCGTAGGAAGATTCCATTCTGCTTCTTTGATTATTGGATGGATCACTTGCATTTCTTTCCTTTGGTGGCTCGGGTTTGGGGTGAAACAGTTGTGGGAACTTCTATGTTTTGTCTGTGTTCGAAATTGAGAATGCTGAAGCTTGCCTTGAAAGATTTTAATGAGGAGCACTTTTTAGATCTACCTAGGAGAGTCACTCAAGCTCGGTTTGATCTGAGCGTGTTCAGTGTTTGATTCAGCAGTCGCCTTTGGATCCATCTTTACATAGGGAGGTGGCTCGGTTAATATAGGAATTTTGCATGTTGAATAGGGCTGAGGAAGGTTTTTTGAGATAAAAAACTCGTGTTAAGTGGCTGAATTTAGGAGACCAGAATACTGCTTTCTTTTTCAAGGCTATGAAAAGTCACTATGGCAAGAATAAGGTGGTCTCCATTTGTAGAGATGATAGTACTTAATTAGAGGAGTCGTATGAGGTTAGTAAAGTTATTGTTGAATTCTATCAAAATCTCCTTGGACAGCAGCCTAATGGTGAGAGTCTGGATATGGACTTGCTTCGAAGAGCTCTTCCTAAAAGTATCTCAGTGGTGCATAATGAAACCCTTAATAGAGGTGTATCATATGAGGAGATTAAGGAGGTTTTGTTCTCTTTGAAAGATAACAAGGCTTCGGGACTAGATGGTTTTAATGCAGGTTTCTTCAAGAGGACTTGGAGTATTGTGGGAAACGATGTTCTATGTGCCATCAAGTCCTTTTTTGACTCGGGGCAACTATTGAAGCAAGTTAATGCTACTACCATTGCTTTGGTCCCTTAGGTCCCCAAATCCTTTTCAGGTAAAAGACTTTCGACCTATCTCTTGTTGCAATACTATTTATAAATGTATTGCTAAGCTTATGGCCAATAGAGTCAAGATGGTACTTCCAGATATTGTTGGATCTCAACAAACTGTTTTTGTTAAAGGAAGACATATTAGCGATAATATCTTTCTTTCCCAAGAGTTGTTGAGGAATTATAATCGCAGTGGAGGATTGCCTAGGTGTGCCCTTAAAGTTGATATCATGAAAGCCTATGATTCTATTTGTTGGGATTTTCTTTTTGCTGTTTTAAGGCTGCTTGGGTTTTCGGAGAAGGTTGTATGTGGATTTCTGAATGTGTGACTACCACTCGATTTTCAATTTCCATTAATTGTGAGTTGCATGGTTTTTTTGTTGGTGGGAAAGGTTTGAGACAAGGAGTTCCTTTGTCACCCTATTTACTTGTCTTGGAATGGAGGTTTTTTCAGGGTTAATGGGGTTGATGGCTATTGAGCAAGATTTTAAGTACCATTAGAGGTGTGAGAAAGAGAAGATCACCAACTTGTGTTTTGCTGATGATCTTATGGTCTTTGGGGAGAGCTAAAGTTGGTTTTGTATCTCGCATTGGAGACTGTCTCAATCAATTCAAAGCTTTTTTCGGCCTTGTTTCTAACCCAGATAAGAGTAATCTATTTGCTAGTGGTGTTTCATCATATCTCAAGCACCAGTTACTTAATTGGGTTATAAGGAGGGTCTGCTATCGGTACGTTATCTTGGTGTTCCACTTATCTCTACCAAATTGCAGGCTTTAGATTGTAAGGTGTTGGTGGATCGTATTATAGCCAGGGCTAAGAGTTGGACTTGTCGCTCACTTTCCTATGTGGGAAGGTTACAACTTTTTTAGTCGGTGTTATTTTCTATTCATGTATATTGGTCTTCTGTATTTATTTTACCTAAGGCTATGATCAAGCAAGTGGAAGCTACTCTACGGGCCTTCTTTTAGAAGGGTTGTGACCTTGGTACCAGTAATACTAAAGTGGCTTGGGCAAAAATTTGTATGCCTAAGGAGGGAGGCCTGGGTCTGTGGAATATGGAGATTTGGAATAGGGCTTGTATGTTAAAGCACATTTGGTCGGTTTGTACGGCTTCTGCCTACTCTCTTTAGGTTTCGTGGGCATAGTGCTACTTGCTTAAAGGTCGGAGCATTTGGGAATTGAAATGTCCTAGGGACTGCTCTTTTGGAGTTGGAGGAAGATTCTTGGGCTTAGAGACATAGGGAGGGACAAAATGAAATTCAAAATTGGTAATGGTAAACATGCTTCGCTTTGGTTTGATAATTGGCATCCTCTTGGCGCTTTAGAAAAGGTTCTTGGTGAAAGAATCATTCTTGAATTTAGATTCAGCAGATTAGCTAAGGTGGCTGACATTATTGAAGGTGATACTTGGAAGTGGCCTTTAGCTCGTTCCTTAGCTTTTTTTGATTTCATGCGAGGCACGCTTGATACTTTTCGACCAGATAGTACTAGAGAGGATGTCTTGCGATGGGTAGATGATGTACAAGGAGCCTTCTCTGTTCGTAGTGCTTGGGAGTCTCTTTGACCTCGCTGTTCTAGGGTGACCTGGTATCGCATTGTATGATTCCCTAAATGTATTCACTGTCATGCATTTATCCTTTGACTAGCAATTCAAGGTGGCCTCTATACACAGAAAAAGCTTTTTGGCTTTGGCTTAATATAGTCTATGCGTTGTGTGTTGTGTGGTTGTTCTGAGGAGGATTTAGACCATCTTTTCTTTGCTTGCTCATTTTTTGAGCATGTTTGTCAAGCTTTACATGTGAAATGTAACTTGCTTTGGGTTTAGTGATGTTGGCCAAATTCTCTTTCTTGGATGGAGCAATTTCGTGGGAGGTCATTGCGCTGTACTGTTATTCGTTTGATGTTTGCGGCTTTGATTTATGCTATTTGGTGTTAGCGTAATGCTAGGATCCATGGTGAGGCTCCTAAACATGAGTCTGCTATTATTCAGGATATTGTTTCTACTATTTGTGCACGAGTAGATTTATGTAGAGTCTTGGTTCCATCTAATGAAAATAGAAGGTTCCAACGCTTATGGGGTTTTTTTGTAAATATTTTTTCTTGTCATGGCTAGGCTATAAATCCAGGCTCTTGTTATTGATGCTAGGAAGGCATATATTCCTAGCCTTGTTTTCCTGGGGTATGCCCTTGTGATTTTGTATTCTATTCTCACACTTTGGATATAATACACTTGCCTTTAAAAAAAAAAAAAAAAAAAAAAAACTTTGTCAGGAGGCAGGGAGATAATGATATATTTTCAATTTGTTTACACTATTGTTGTCTTTATAGTGACTATCCATATAGACTTTAGCCATGGGTTGGTTGGTTGGTTATCTTCAGAGTCTTTACTATCTAGTCTCTGTTTGATATGAATTTTTTGAGAATAAATTTTGTGAGAAGTGATTTTTTTTTGAGAATCTATAATTATACAATATGAAAAATTATGGAATCACGTCCAAAATTATTCGTTGGAAGGATATGTTGCTGAAAATGAGTGCTAGAAACTGGGACGTTGCTAAGAATAACTAATGCCAAAGTTAAAACTGTTGATGGGGTGGTGAAGTGAGGGCTCCTGTTGTAAATTATGTTTACCTCTCACTTTTGCAATCCACAACTTGTTGATTTCAATAGCTTGAAATTATTCACTAAAATCTGTGGAGTCTACGAGTTTTAAAAGTTGTGTTTTTATGCTTTTAACAACAAAATGTTGGAGGTAGAGGATGAAATGTGCTTTATTTTCCTTTTTCAGTCATATTATTGGTACTTCTACACGGACGGACAGACGGATATCATGAAGTGAAAACTCAGAGCAGACCTATACTAACAAATACCTTCACATATAATTATTGATGATTTTAGGTTGATATAGCTGGATAAAATTGATTTGGGACTTACATATTTCCTAACCTTTTTGAAGGGCATGTCTTTTTTAATTTAAATAAAAGGTCAATTGCATGCAAATGTTAGGGATCAAATGTGTCAAACTTCGTTTATGTATTTCTTACTGGATGATAGATTTTGAACATAAAATTTAAAGAAACAAGTGGTGACAGTCTCTCCAGGATGATGGTTTATATTCAACTATATTTATCAGCTCATCGGCTTGATGGATGGATGGAGATTTATATAGCAATTTCCATCCAATATTATCAAATTATGTTTTATTTAAAATTGGGATCACCCTTCCATTGAATTTAATTGCAACCATGTTAAGAATCGATAATCATGAAATAATAAATTAATAAATCAAATTTATATTTGCTGAAGCCATCGTTAATGTTAATAATAGCAGCTGGATCTTCTCTTTCTTATTCCTCACAAAATATTTGCCGTTAACAGGGGGCAAGTTAATAAAAATCATATGGAGAGGAGAGGGGATCTAGTTTTTTTTATAGGAAATTATCAAACCGTCTCATTATGACTTGAACTCTAATTAGGGTTTACATATATTTTTGGTTCATATACTTAAAATTATCACATAATATAAAATACAACAAACACGGTGTAAAAGGTCTAATGTATCACTTAATAAATTTTGTCCAATTATAAATATTATTATGAGCCATACATTTAACTCATAAAATAAACAATCAAATGAGAAACTTACGTTAGAATTATTCCAGCATTCTTCCACTTGGGTAAGCATTTGATTGCTATAACAAAATTTTTAACACCTGGGTTAGATTACATAGTTAGCCACAAAAATATAGTTTCAATGATAACACTTTAAGCAACTTGACTCGATCCAACAAGAATGTCAATACTGAACATGGAAGTCATTACACTAATTAAGTGATGTAAGATCATTCCATAGTTATAAATGTCAACATCCTTATTGACATGAATTTGCATCTTCCAACCAATGTGGTAGTATGTGGTATAAATTTAGCATCAAATGTGATAAAAAAAAATTGTACTAATTCATATTGGTTCTCATAATGTTTCATATCAAAATGAAGTCATGTCTCCAAAAGAGATTCATCTTATATCTTTATTTGTCATATTTCGAGATTATAATAATATCATAATAAAAGATATAAGTCAAATGTATGCTCAAAATAATTTATGGATAGGGAGAAAATATATTTTATTATTAGAAGAAGGGCTGTATGCGAAAACATATTGGTTGCCTACGTACTTCGTAATGGGATGGAACTCAAAACGTAGTTCTTTTATGTATATACTTAACGCTCACTAACAAAAAAAATCAAATGTTTTCACAATGTTCATATTAACAACATGTGTCTTAAAGATTTTTCGAAGGAGTCCTTTAGTCAAAGGATTTACAATTATTACCTCTGTATTGATATGCTCTATATTCGTCTGCCCTTCCTTGACTCTGTCTATAATCACTAAATATTTGATGTCAATATGCTTTGACCTACTCGAACTTTTATTATTTTTTGAAAAGAACGCTATTGCACTGTTATCACAATAGATAGTGATTGGTTTTGAGATGGGCTAAACAACTTTTAACCCAGTGATGAAATTTCTTAACCAAACGGCTTGGACCATAGTTCCATAACATGCCACAAATTTAGTTTGCGTAGTAGAAGATGCCATTAGAGTCTATTTAGCACTTTTTCAAGATATAGCACCACCGGCTAACATGAAACTATAACCTGAGGTTGATTTCAAATAATCTTGACATCCAGCAAAATTAGAATCTAAGTAGCTTACCTCCTGAAGATGATTTGAATGTTGGAATGTAAGCATATGACCTCCAGTTTTATACAAGTATCTTATAACTTTCTTAGTTGCTTTCCAATATTTCTGTCCTGGATTTGACTAAAACCTGCTAAGGAAACTGATCGCGTAGGGCGTAGGCTATATTCGGTTTAGTACAAATTTGAGTATACATCAAGCTTTGCACAGCACCAGCATATGATATCAACTTCATAGATTCTCCTTCTAGCTCATTCCTTGGACATTGAGCTTTGTTAAACTTATTTCCTTTTCTGATAGTTATATCATCAATTGCAGAGTTCTGCATGTTAAACCTTTCTAGAACACGTCGTATATAAGCTTTCTGAGCAAGTCCTAGCAAGTCACGATTTTTATCACGAAGTATTTTAATGCCAAGCACATAGGAGGCTTCTCCAAGATCCTTCATCTCAAAATTAGCAGACAAAGTTTTCTTTATCTCATGAAGCAAGCCCAAGTTACTAGCAAGCAAAATGTCATCAACATAAGCTGGTTTTGAGGTAGATGCATTGATCAATTGTATTTTCAACAAAACCAAGAGAAGTCACAACCTCATCAAACTTTAAATACCACTGTCAAGATGCTTGCTTGAGGCCATATAAGAATTTGTTTAACTTGCATACCAAATTTTCTTTTCCTTTCACAACAAAACCTTCAAGATGTCTCATGTAAATATTTTCAGAAAGATCTTCATTCAAAAATACCGTCTAACATCCATCTGATGAAGTTCCAAATTATAGTGCGTCTCAATAGTCATGATAATTCGAAAAAAATCTTTGGACGAGACAGGTGAGAATGTTTTAACATAATCAATGCCTTCTCGTTGAGTGAAACCTTTTGCAACCAATCTTCATTTTTTTTTTCTTTTTTTTTTTTTGCCGTTCAAATGATCCACTTGTTATCTATAGCTTTAGCATCTAAAGGAAGTCCAACGAATTCTCCAACATTATTAGTTTCCATAAAATTCATTTCATCTTCCATAGCATTTATCTATTTATCTACCTTAGGATTTGTCAATACTTGATCATAAGTTACAGGATCAATAATATGCCCAATATTAAAATCACTCTCCAATAAATATGTAATATAATCACTGGGCAATGCAGATCTCCTTTTCCTTTGTGATCTCCTAACTTGTGGCTCGAGAACCAATTCAACCGTTGTTGGAGGGATTGGAAGTTCTTCTTGGTTCCTTGGTTCTTCATCAACAATTTTAATTGGTTGAGAACCAACTCCTTCTTGTATAACAGGAACTGGAATAACTATTTGATTTGGTTCTCTCAATGTGGAACTTCCATTATCTCCAAAATCATTCTGCAGAAATTTAACATTAATGGATTCAAAAATTGTAGTGCCACGATTTGGACAGTAGAACTTATATTCTTTTGATCTCTTCAAGTACCTAATAATACTAGTAACCAGGAGTTGATTTTGGGTCTAATTCTTTTCAAAGAGATTATAAATCCCAACTTCAGCTAGACATCTTCAAACTTTAAAATGAGCCAAACTTGGCTTACGTCCTGTCTATAATTAAAAATGTGTCTTTGCAACAGCTTTACTTGAAACTCTATTTATATTTCTAACCATATCTTTCAGAGTTCGATTACGTCTATTAGAAACACCATTCTGCTCAGGTGTAGCATGGTGTATTGAGGCATTATTCCACACTCTTATAAAAACGTTGCAAAATCACCCATGCTTTGAAAAGACTCGTCATATTTTCTGTAGTATTCACCACCATGGTCAGATCTTACAACCTTGATACTAGTTCCACATTGTTTCTCTATTTCGTGTTTGAAAATCTTGAATTTCTCAAGTGCATGAAATTTATCATTAATCAAGTAAACATATCCTTATCCTGAGAAATCATAAATAAAGGTTATAAAGTATTTGTTCCCACATATGGTGGAAGGCAAAGATCCACTAATATCAGATGTATCAAGTCCAAAATATCATTACTCCTAGTTGAACCTTTCCTTGTAAACTTAGTTAATTTTCCTCTTATACAATCCACACAAGTGTCAAAATCAGAGAAGTCTAAAGGGGGAAGTATCTCAACTTTTACCAATCTCTCCTTTCTATCCTTTGAAATGTGATCCAACCATTTATGCCACAACATAGATGGCGATTTACGGATTAAAACTCTTTTCTTGGATACATTGGTAACACAAGAGACTTAACCAAAAGGAGCCGAAGACAATTTATATAAACTATCACATAAAAAGGCCATTCGCAATCAAACGATAATTATAAAACAACTAAACCATTCCATTACCAAAATTAAAGGAAAAACTACAAGCATCAAGTTTTGATATATAAATTAAATTTTGTCTCATTTGTCGTACAAAAACTGTATTTTCCAGAATAAGAGAAAAACCAAACTCTAAATGCAATTTCATTACGCCTATGAATTCAACCTTCATTTGAACTCAATTTTCAACGCTCAAGCTCATTCTCACTTGGCCTCCGTTTGCTTATGAACCCTTGCAAGGAATTTACAATATGAATACTAACTTCAGAGTCTTATCACCAAGAATTCAAAGGCACGTCTACTAAAGAAGACTC